CCAAGGAAAAAACTCCATCCTAAGATCTCATCTAAATGTGTCTCTTGCAATTTCTCTCCATTACTCCTTGTCCTGTCACTGCAGTTCCTAACAAACTGTAACAACCAGGGTGGTGTGGTTGGGTCTGGCACCCCAGACCCATTTTCCATCCTACTCCATCCTCCCCTTTGGAGCAGGAAGGAGCCACATCGCAACATCTCAGCCATGGAATGAGCCACCCCCACCAGGATCCCCAAGTGGGGCTGAGGGCACTCACCACTCAGCTCTGGGGGTGGCCTCAGGTAGAAGGTGCAGTAGATGTCATTGTGCATCTGCAGCTCCGTGTTTGTGGGCTTCTTCAGCAGGTCTGGTATCTTCTCCTCCTGGAAAGGAGTCTTCTCCAGGATGACCACAGCATCCGTCCCCTCTCCAGAGAGGCCAATCCTCTGCAACAGGGATGGATAAAGTCATCAGCAAACATGGATCCAGCACTTGGAGGAGAGTGTGAGGCCTCTCAGGACCTGAACATGCAGGGACCACCACAGAAACCTCACAGCCCGAGTGCTCATGTTCAAATCCTCTGTGTTCCATCCACACACAAAAGGGATGTTTGCCCTGAAACACAGCAGAAATTTGCTCTCCACCAGGGAACACAGGTGTTTTCGGGGGAGCAGGAGATGTGTGCAATGTCTCGGCCCCACCTGCACTAGGAGGATGCTCCAAGAACCATAGTTGTGGATTTCGTCTTGGACACTCCACAGCTGACACAGGGCTGGAGGCTCAGGAACAGGGCAGAGGCAGGTGTAGGGCAGGGAGCATGTTTTGGGGCAGGGAGCACTGCTGCCCTGCTCCAGGAGCCACAACCCTGATCCAGACTTGGCCTTGTGCTGGTTTTGGGAGGCACCAGGCATGGAACACAGCCCTAAATCACTCCTGTTTGTACAGACACCACCTGAGGTTTCACCACACCACTTGGTGGGGGCAAAGGGGCTCACCTGGGGTTCCCAACCCAGCCAGGCTCACAGGGCAGGGCAGGCAGGGCTGTGTTCAGCAATCCCTGCTTCGAGACTGAACCTTCCCCATCCTCATGTCCTGCTTGGAAGCACATCTCCTGCTTGGATTCACATCTCCAGGAGACAGGAGCTGAGGCAGCTGTGTGGTTCCCACATCACAGGCTCTCAGGCCACAAAACTTCTAGAGCTATTACAGATTTCCCTGCAATGGCACATGATGGACACTTTCATCGTGTTTGCAGCCCCAGAGCTGCCTGTAATCAACACCACTTTACCTACCAAGCACAAAAACCTGCTCAGAGCCAAAAGCAACGTTGATATGAATTAGATGGAGTAACCTGAGGCTTGCAGGTTATTTTCCTGCCCCCAGCTTAGCTGAATTTGGGTAGCAGTGGGCTGGAAACACGGGGCTGGGGCCAAACTGGGATAGATGAGGAAGAGCTGGAGCCTGTGGAGAGGATAGGACAGGCGGGGAAGGGGTTGAGACGCCAGTGGGGGAGCGACCAGGAGGTGTCCCGGGTGTGACCGAGGGCTCACACGGGGA